GGGGTGGAAATTAAAGCAGCCACTGACAATGTGAGTGCACCGCCCGACTCACCGCCTTGGAAGGTGGACTTTGGAAAGGGAGAGGAAAGAGTTGAAGAGGAGAATGAGAGGGAGTGGGAGCGAGGAGAAAAGAGAAGAAACAACAAGGAAGGGGGAGGAAAAGAGAAGGAAAGGACATGGTAAGTGGTGAAAGAGAAAGCAGGGAGTGGTGACACTAGGACATCTGAGAAATGGGGAAGGAGAAGTGGGAGAAAAAGAAACGAAAGGTGAAAAAATATAATTAAGCAAGAAAGATGGTAAAAGGAAGAGAAAGAGAAAATAAAAAAAACCACACCCACATTTACTGAAACTCCTAGGCATGGGATACAATACTAAATGCTGGAAGAGGGGCACAGAGACTGGCTGGCCCTGCCCTGCTCTCGCTGGGGCCTGGGTGGGGGTGGGGGTGGGGCTTAGAATGCAGGTCGGTGGGGTTTCTCAAGGTCTTTCTAGAAAGCAAATCTCAGCAGGAAAGCTCAGAGGAAGGAGAAATGGAGATGGATGGGGCAGAAAGAGCTCTGGAGTAGGGGGAGGGGAAGCTGAAGAAAAAGAAAAAAATGAAAATAGGTGGAAGGAAGAGAAAAGGAAAGAGAAGAAACTCAGAGGGGAAATTAGGGAGTATAATCCCCTGTGTTTGACCTGTGAAGCCTGGCATGGTGTACACTCAGTAGCGGTTGGAAGTGCATGTTGTGTGGTGCAGAGTGAGAGAGGAGGTGGCTTCTCTGGGGGAGAGAAAAGGAACCAAAGAGCAGGGAGTGAGGGAGGAGAGAAGGGATAGAAGGAGGGAGGGAAGAAAGGGGTCAACCATAGGAAGAATAAGAAAAACCCAGCAAAGAACACAGGAAGGTGATGGAAAAGAAGCTAGGGATAGACATGGGTGGAACAGAAGAGAAAGAAAGAGTATGTCCTGGATTACTGCAAAAGCCTCTTAAATGGCCTCCCTGCATCTGCCTTTGCCCAGTCCCTTCAGTGGATTCTCAACACAAAAACCAGGTGATCCTTTTAAACATAAGTCAAATCAAGTCACTCCTCTGCTCCACATCTGCAAAGACTCCCCATCCATGCAGAATTAAAAACGACAGTCCTGACAATGGCCTTCAAGGCTCCACATGATCTGTCCCTCCCAGGGCCCACATGAGATCATTCTCTACATCCCAGCCACACAGCTCCTTGCTGTATTTCAACAGCCCCCACCCCCAGCTCCCACCAGCCCACTAGTACTTCAGGGCTTTTGCATGGCTGGCCCCTCTGATGAGAATATTCTACCCCTTGAAATTTTCATGCCTCACTCCCTTACCTCCTCCAAGTTTATGCTCATATGTGACTGGAATGAGACCTACCCTGACCACCCTGTTTAAAACATACAGCCCAGGGCCGGCCGAGTGGCACGTTGGTTAAGAGCTGGCTTGGGACGCCAGAGGGCTCCGGTTCAGATTCCACATATGGGGCCGTGTTGCACTGCCCTCTATAGCTAAGGTGCTGAACAACAGCTCAACCTGGAGCTGGGCTGCTGTGAGTCGCCAGCAACAGTGTAGGCTGCAGCCCCTGCTGCAGTGGGTTGCCATGGGCTGCTGTGTGTAGCCAGCAGCCAGCGTGAGCGGCCAGCAGCCGCAGTGAGCAGCCATCCAGAAGCCGGCGACTGATCTGCCTCACCCAGGAAGAGCGCAATGATGGTGCCAACTTGGGCCAGTGAAGCAACGTCCTCCACAACTAGACTGAAGAACAAAAGGACAGCAACGTGTCTGTTCTCCTTCCCCCAACTCCCCAATAAAAATCTTCAAAAAAAAAACCAAACCCAAAAATCATACAGCCCACTCTATCCCTGCACTCCCAATCCCCTTACTTTGTTCAACTTTTTTATTTTTCTGACGGCACTGCTCACCTTATAACTGTATAATTTACTTCTTTATCGTTTCAGGAACTGTCTCCCCTTGGCCCCGTGTTGCTCCTTGTCTGTTTTGTAAGCTGATATAGCCTAAGTGCCTGGGACAGTACCTGGCACTTGTAGGTACTCAATAAATATTTGTTGGATGAATGAGGAAGGAAGGTGCTGGGTTTTCCAGGTAGGGCTTGTGGGGTAGCAGTGCGGGGAGCTGGCTGGGTGCATAGAATTTGCTTTCTGCCAGGTAACTCCAGCTGATAGAAGTTTGAGGTTGCTGGGGTTCACCCCAGACCATCCCAAGTTGAGTTATTGTAGGGTTCAGACAAACATCATAAACTCCCGTGAGGTCACTAGAAGCCCAGAAAGTCAGAGGACAGGAATGTGGCCATTACTCACTACCAGGGTTGGAGAAGTCATCCTCAGGCCCCACATTTGGCATCCCCGACAACCCCTTCTTCTGGATCCACTTGGCCCCAGAGGCAGTCGGGATCCAACTCCAGCCACAGAGATCGTTTGGAGTGTCAAAGCTGCATATTTGCATTTTACAGACTGACGGGAAAGAAAGGAGGGAGGATTTAGCTTTTCTTAAGAGGAGGCAACTCTGAAAAGCGTGCCTCAATCTGGAGTCAGAATTCTGAGTCCCAACCTGAGTCCTACTATGAGCCATGGAGAGCTTTCAAGCCAGCTACAGTCCCACTCCCTAGCAGCTGTGTTCTTGGCACAGGTTACTTAAATCTCCTAAGCCTCAGTTTCCTCATCTCTAAACTGGGAGTAACAGTATCCACATGTCGTAAATTAGATCATGTGAGGGAAGCATCTAGCACAGTGCCTGTGCTCAATAAGTATTAGTTTCTTGCACCCAGCTTCTGAAATTCTCCTTTCCTTGAATTTGCTCCTCTTTAATCTCTAACATCAACTTAGTGGGCTAATGTTGGATGGATCTAGGGTAGTAGCCAGGGTGACCAAACATCCAGGTTTGCCTGGGACTGAGGTTTCCCTGAGATGCAGGACTGTCAGTGTTAAAATACGGACAGCCCAGGGCAAACAGGAATGGTTGGTCACTCTAAGACAGGTATCACCATAACTCTGTTAAAAGAGAACCTCTTGGCATATGAAAAAATGTTCAACCTCACTAATCATTAGGGAAATGCAAATAAAAACCACAATGAGATACCACTTCACTCCGATCAGAATGGCTGTCATCAATAAATCAACAAACAACAAGTGCTGGCGAGGCTGTGGAGAAAAGGGAACCCTGGTGCACTGTTGGTGGGACTGCAGATTGGTGCAGCCATNGGTGACTGCTAAAAGGTATGGGATTTCTTTTGGGGGTGATGAAAATATTCTGGAGTTAGAAAGTGATGATGTTTGCACAATCTTGCGAGTATACTAAACCCACTCAATTGTACACTATAAAAGGATGAACTTATGGTATATGAGTTGTATTTCAATAAAAAAAAATAGAAGTAAGCCTGGTGCTTGGTTCCCAACTACCCCCACCTACCCGTGCCCTGCTGTCCCTCTCACTCAGGGTAGTCAGTCTTCATCATTTCTTCTAATGTCACATGTCTGATTCATCTCTCCTCTAAGACTGAGTTTTCTACTAGAAGCATCCCTTTCCCTAATTCTCTCTCCTAGTCACTCTCTTACTTTCAGCTCTTTGTCCAATGATCACATACCTGGAGTAGATCTAGGAGTTGCAGTGGTAGCCAGGGTCACAGTGGTCATGGAGGTACTTGAAGCATTAGAAGACGTCACCAAGACTCTAGGCCTAGTGGGTACAAGTGTTGGGTTGGGCTGGAGTGTCATAGGAGCTATGGACCTTTTAGTGGGGACAGTCAGTTTTTCAGTGGGGATGGTGGGATTTTCAACGAGGACAGTGGGTTTTTCAGTGGGGACTGTGGGTTTTTCTGTGGAGACAGTGGGCTTTTCTGTGAAGACAGTAGTCCTTTCAATGTGGACAATGGGTTTTTCTGTGGGGACAGTGGGCCTTTCAATGTGGAGAGTGGGCTTTTCTGTGGGGATAGTGGGCTCTTCAGGTGGGACAGTGGGTTTTTCTGTGGGAACTGTGGGCTTTTCTGTGGGAGCAGTCAGCTTTTCAGTGGAAATGGTGGGCTTTTCTGTGAAGGTGGATTTTTCTGTGGGGATGGTGTGCGTTTTTGTGGGGACCATGGGACTTTCCGTGGGGATGGTGGATATTTCACTGGAGACAGTGGGTTTTACTGTGGGAGCCATAGGTTTTTCTGTGGTGACCATGGGTTTTTCTGTGGAGACAGGAGTTTCAGAGTGGCCAGTAGGGGGAACTGGAGATTTGGAAGGAAGCACTGTTGGCACAGGTCCTGCAAAGAAAAAAAATCCCTGGAGTTTAGTCAAAATCATACCACCATCTTCTTCACTCACATCTAATTGGAGTGGGTGGGATCAAAGGGGTAACTTATTCACACCCCTCCTTCTACTCCCAACCCCACCTTCACTCAATAGATGCTCGATAACCACTGCTCCTCATATATGTCAGATATTGTACCAGGTACAGGAAACACAAAATGAATAGAGTATCGGTCCTCCATTCAGGATCACCATTTACTAGGTAAGGGGTTCTGGATCCCATCACAGAAATTCATGGCATCAAAGTCACATTCATTCAAGCAAGCATCCTGATGGGGCCGGGATGGTAGAGGCAGACAGAACACAGAAAACAAAGCTATCTGAGAACTCAGGCACAAGTGAGGACATGCATTTTAAGCAGTACATACAGAGAAGCCAAGAAATGGTCATCCCACAGCATGGCCCCCTTTCTGGGGTCTTGGGTTTTGTCTTACCTCGACAGGTCCCATGATTGATAAAGATGAAATCCAGAGCAACAACAAAGGCAGTATTGGTACCCCTGATGGCCTCAACTATCAGCTGAAGGTAATGAGGAAGAGAGAAGGAAAAGAGAAATGAAAGTGAATCCCTAGCCCCTCAGTGACTCTGCCAGGCATAGAGTCTGTCCTCTGCCAAAATGTCACTTTGTTCCAGCCGCATCAGTCCAACTCTGCCCCTACCCCTTTTCTGGAGCCAGAGAGCCTTCTCGGGAACACCAAGTTCACTTCTGCTCTGTTCCCCTTCCAGAGTCTCATCTTTTCAACCCCGATTGTGCTCCTGGATACCAGGCATTGCATCCCTCTTACCATGCCCCACGCAGACACTTACAGGGCCCACTCTTCCCATCTCTCACCTGCATGGGCTGTTGGTGTCCTGAAGGGATGGTGATGGAGGCATTCAGCCAGTCAGGCCTCTGAGACCCAACACGTTGCCAGACAGAAGTTGGAGAGCTGCCCGCAGGACTCCCCAGCAGGAGCTTCAGTTTAGTGCCCTCTCCGAGGCCATACATGTGGTAGGCAAGTTCCACACAGATCGCACCAGAGGCACAGAAGGGCCGGCTCACCAGCCTGAAAGACTGGCCTGCCTGGGAGAACCTGTCTGCTTCAAGGTAGATATAGTTACCTGGGCAAAAGAAGGGAATGGGCAAGATGAGAAACCTCCAAAGGACAAGTCTAGTGCTGCTTTCTTTAACAACACTTATTTTTCAAATGGGGATTTGATGCAAACACCCAAACTCCCCACATTGTAGCATTTTGTTTTGTTTTGTTTTTTCGTTTTGGACTTTTCTAACTAAATATGGCAGGATCAGAAAGAAAGGGAAAAGGGAACCAGAAACCTAGGCTCCTTTGTTGGCTACACCAGTAATGTCTTGAATAAAAACAAGGTATTGGATTTTGAAGCCTTGAGTTCAATGAAGTGAGATGCCTGGATTTTCTGGGGGTTTCAGTGACCCCACAGCCATTAGACTCCTTAACTCACTCTACCTCTGTCATATTCGCAGCTCTGGCCCCTTGGTACTTCCCAATAAACACTTCACCACCTCCAACATCTTCTATCAATCACACCAGCCAGCCTCCTAGCTGGGAGCAGAATCAGTAATTTGTTGGCTTGAGGGGTCCCCAATCTCCTCACCTCTGTTAAGGGACCCTCTGAAGGGGCCTGTTCCCTGGATGGGCATATTTTGACTACCGCGGGTCCAGCGTCCGCCATCCCCTGATATCTGAGCCCAGCCACAGAAAGGATGGGCATCATCTTCAAAGTCACATTGAGGAAAGCTCTCTAGGGCATAAAATAGGAGACTTGATAAATTTTGGCCATGCTCTCTATTCCTCCTCCATCCTACCCCTGATTCTGAGAGATCTGGGCCTCCCAGGGCCCTGCTCTCACCCCCACAGGGAGCAATGCTGACTGCGTCCACTGCCACAGCTGGTTCTGGGGTCTTCCCAAACACGCCCACCATGGTAAACTGAAGAGAGAGGGAGAGGAGGCCAGGTGTGAGAAAACAGCCCAAACCCCCATCCCCTTCTGATGTTTTCCATTCAGGGACCAAGGCACCTGGCTTTCAGTGCCCAGATCCATTTTATTATCAGGGGTGCCTGCCATGGGCAAGGAAACCTGACCTATTGCCCCTCTGTACCTGAATCTGTCCCTGGCCTGTGTAATTGACAGAGACTGGCTGCCAGTTGGGTCCTGATTGTCCTGAGAAAAGAGTGTGTTTCCGGATGCTGCCTGCAGTGGAAGGAATATGAGGACGTGAGATTAAGGGGACTGGGAAATGACTTCAAACCTGTACTCAGAAGAATGAGTAGCAAAGGGAATACCTGGAATGTATTCCCCTCCTCCAAATATAAGCACATCTTTCTCTCTCACCTCCTGGTACTTTATTTTCCAGAGCCCAGTGCCCTGCCAGCTCCCGATTTCACTCCGTGGAATAATCTTACACATAGTCCAGATTTCCCTAGACCCATATCTCCTCATCAACCCAACCCTGGAAGACGAGCCTCAGGTCAGTGTAAATTCCATTACTTCACCACTCTTACCCAAGACGGAAGCATAGATTGTGAGGGCTGCTCCAGGAGACCGGCCATGGAGGGTGTAGTAGAAAGACAGGCTCAGACAGCCTGATGACTGGCTCAGGGGGCTATGGAGAACAGATTTCTGCCTTGGTTTTGCATTCTTAGGGTCCAGGAGCATGTAGAAGCCGCCTGTGAAGGAAAAGGTCAGTAAGGTGGGGTGGCTGAAATTGGGAGAATATGGCACAGGGATCGGGCCCTGCGAGGGGGAGACGCCCGGGGCCCTGGGGAGCCCCAACAGCTGCCTAGGATAGCCAATGCAGAGGTGGGCCTACACCCATTTCATGACTGGCTGACGTCTTCAGTTCTTCCAGAAGTGCTTGGCAGGGCTGGGAAAGGACATGAGTTTTGCCATATGAAAAGTGGCATCCTCTCAGATGCAGCAGTCCGAACCTTGTCCTTTGTGTTCTGACTTTTTGGGTCCCCCAGAGTCATACCCATTTCTTATCCGTTTCCTTTTCTCGACACACTCAATGTACACAGCCATTTCACACAAACTGGTGAGAGAGGGCTGATCTGACACAGATGAGCAGGCATCTCCCCACACCATCTTTGCCACCAGCTCAGGCAGCCACTCAGCCTGGATCTGGTTCCAAAA